TCACCTCCCTGGATGGTGACTTGCTGAAACAATCGGATGAAAACAGCCGTAACAACGGAAACTCCCTCGGCTTAGGCTAAGGCCTGTGGAGAATCCATAAATACAAATACAAAAAGGGAACTATAAACCACCCAATGTTTGCATCACTAAATTTGTGCGATCCCTCAGAACCAGCGAGTTTACGATGGCAAATGCAAACATTAATACGTCGCAAACATGTATACAGTGTAGTCAGTTTACAGTATGCAAGTCACACAGTACAGTACTGTTGGTCAAAACCATCCTTTCCTTGTGATTTCAAACTCAGGTTCGGACGGAACTGAAGTTCAAGCACTCGCACAGGATCTCGCCAAGGATTCAAACGAATCAAGCTAAAGTGGGACTGCTGAAACGAGAGAACGCGGTTTTTGAGCGCATGAGCACAGAGGGTGGTGCAGTCAAACCCCGCTGGCAGTGCGCTGTGCACCGACTCATAATCCCCAGATGCACACTCTTGGTTATACACTCTTGGTGGGACACAGCAATGTTAGATGTTGCCGTGTGCCGCGTCAAACTCCGCGTCCACTGCAATACATGCACTCGAGTATTATTGCAGGAGTGAGCAATGCGCAATTCATACTTGAAAATAGCTTTATAATGTGCCAGCGTTCCAGAATGGAACAGGATTACCAACGTAGTACAGATGTGTGCGTGTGTGTTTGTTTGTGCGCGTGTGTCTATGCGTGGTCGCGTGCACACAGGCACGCAGAGCAAAGAGCAGAGAAGCACCACTGGCTGTCGATGTGGATGGATGGGCAGATGCGTACAGTTGGGCAGGGGACCGAACGAGTACGTATGAAGCCTGCATAAGCAGCTACATAGTGATAGTATGGAGACTAAAAAAGGTAAACAGACTTCATCCAGCACTGCCAGCATGCTGATTGCTAATAAATACAATACATGAAAGAAGTGTGTAGCTTGACGGCATAAAACAAAAGTTAAAAACCATAAAGAGGAAAGCAGCAGCAACAGTATACAAGCGAACGTGAGTGAGTGAATGTGTTAGTGTGTGTGTTAGTGTGAGAAAGAGAGAGAGAGAGAGAGAGAGAGAGAGAGAGAGAGAGAGAGAGAGAGAGAGAGAGAGAGAGAGAGAGAGAGAGAGAGAGAGAGAGAGAGAGAGAGAGAGAGAGAGAGAGAGAGACAGAGAGACAGAGAGAGACAGACAGAGAGGCAGAGAGAGACAGAGAGACAGAGAGGCAGAGAGAGACAGAGAGACAGAGACAGAAAGAGAGAGAGGGGGGGGGGAGAAGGAGAGAAGGAGAGTGCTATTGACGTGGTGGAGTCGAGCTGCAGGTTAGGATGTGCACACTGGGACTAGGCTGTCGGCAATTGTGTCGGTCACAGGTGTTACTCCACGTAGCACTGTTCACACGCTGCTGCTCTGCTAGAGCGTGACTCAATGCTACAGTGGCTCAGCTAGCATGTGTCTCACTCCCGGTCAACGGTGGTGCTAGCCAGACAGGCTGGTGCTGGATTGCTACAAACAGTGCTGGCCACACATGCCTCCAGGAAGCCCGTGAGCATGATCTGTGCTGCTCAGAACTACAAAAGTGGCACAACCGATGCTCACGTATGGCGTCGCAACGAACAGCCACACGGTTGCGGAACTTGAGCTGTCAAAGTGTATGCAGCAGCACCACTATCACACCACAGTGTCCACCATGCTCTACTGTGACACAGAAGTCAACGAGCACTGAGGTGCCACTGAGCCTGGCTTCACTTTGGGCAGAATGGTGGCTGTAGTGTTGTGGTTGTGCAGCAAGAACACGAAGCCTGACGAGCAGGACGCCATCTCTTTCAACTCTTCCTGGGATTTCGCGTACACGAATGGACAGCAGTCCGCACGAATGGCCTCCGTTAGGGACTCATATACAGCCTTGATGTCTTTACAGAAGACATAGCTACACTTGAGGAACACGTCCTTGGTCTCATTTGACTTGCGCCAGTTTCCAGAGCCAATCTGCCCTTCCTGAGCATTCAAAGTGATGTCATTTATGTGTCGTACTAGCGCTTGCACATTGGGAGTATCGGCAGGAACAATGTCCGGATAGATGGGACAGATTCTCCAGCGAACCAATGAAAGGATGCGATCGTCTGATGTCTCCTCAAAATAGAAAGGGACGGCCATACCGATATCCGTTCCGCTGTTTTCTCAAACCAAATTAGGAATTTCCTTCCTCGAATCTCGCTGATGGTTTTCTTCGTTGTCCTCAAATCAAAATGAAATACCTACGAGCTGAGAGCTAAATTACTTTCATCAGAACAATATCTCGTGCGAGAAGTCGTCGACATCCAAGCCTGGCATGCAAGAGGCACTGGAGGAAACACTTCCTGCAAAATGCTTTCATGTACAATTTCGCCTTTTGCAATCGTTTCGCCACGGCCACACCACCATGTGGACCATGCATGCAGCTCAGAGGGAGTCGTAGTCTCGTAGATGATCTGATCTGCCAGTGCAGTGCAAGTGACGCTGCTTTTATGCAAGTGTGTATACACAATGCGGTACGCATGATCCCTCATTTGGCACAGCTAGCTAGCCCAGGAAACCAAGAGTATACATAACTGGGGGTTATGTACTCTTGAGGAAACGCATGGCGCTCCCAATGACTCATTTGAAGCAGATCAGGCCAGGGAGTAGGACATGTATAGCATTTTTTACTACTCCCTAGATCCCTGGCCGGCCCTGTCCGCACCCGCCCCCCCCCCCCTCGCGGCCCCCCCTTCCTGAACAATAATATACTTTCGGACCTGACAGCTAGCCCCCAAGGGGAGGGTTGAAGTCAACCCGGGGCAAAATATCAACCCGGGTCAAGCGCAATGCGTCATGTAAACGCTCCAGTCAATCTGTGTTCATGGCGGGTTGAAATTTGACCCGGGTTGAAACGCCTCCTGTAAACACAGCCTAAATGATAGCGTGCATGCCGTCCTCCTACCGGCAGGAGACGTGTGCCGGGTAATAAGGGACCACTGTACTGAGCTGGCCTGAATTCCTGTTTCAGCTTCGGTGTGCATGCATGCAGGCATCCAAGAACCTTCGGAGAGGAGCAGGAGGTGTGGAGTGCTACTAGGGTGACAGAACAAAGCGGATTCGGTGTGCCGGAAAGGTAAGCCGCTGATGGGGAAACATCGAGAAAGCAGTTGCGGTCATCATGGTTTATTCAGAGACCCACATCAGTGAGAAAGCAGTTGCACCACTTCTGGAGTAAAGCTAGGTACGAGCAGGCAACTCCCCAGTTCTGAAATCGATACTAAGACATGTTATTATAACGAGTCGCAAATTTAACGATTATCCAAAATTCAAAGGTTAACGAGAAGATATGTTAACGATCTTGCAGTATTCTGCCATATCCACACACAGCATATATGAAGCAGTACGGCCTCAACGGATCTTATTATAACGAAGAAATGTCATCCAATAAAAACGTTAGATTTACTTCCTCGTCATATATACCATGATGTCTTACAGTAGTTGACAAAGGGTCCAGTTTGACCCGGCTAAAGCACACTTCAGCATAACAAGCCAACACTGGCTTTATAAAGCAGGGGGTAAAAAGTAAAAAGTAAATTATCGTATCCGTTCCCGAAGGGAACTCACGACGGCCGCTAACACCCGATAAACCCTAGCGGCAGATGCAGCGCCTAACGGTGGGGGTGAGTGGGTAAGTCTCACAACCACTGGCACAAGTGCCGAAAGCGACCCCATTAGCTGCATCCATGTACCCCTTGTGCCTGGCCACAAGTTCCCAGTTGACTGTGGGTAGCAGCACGGCTGGAAAAAACGCTCCCAGGCAGGACTTGAACCAGGTACCTCTCGTATCTCAATCATGGTCTTTGACCAACCCACTGTGCCTGCCTGCAGGGGGTGGTACAAATTAATGTATTACTCCCTGCTTTGCACTCATCACTCATCAACGGTAAGCAGACGTCGGCAACATGTTGACCAGAAATGGCAGGCACCGCAGACTGTGACAGTTTAGGGGTGAAAGCAAAATCCTGATAAAAAGGTTTTTCTGATCACATAATCCGAGTGCAGTACTGTTCAATCCTTAGGAATCATGTCTGTACGCCTGAAGTCACATGCCACACATCCAGATATCCAAATTGGTGTACTGTCTGCCATGCACTCGATTGACGTGTGGATCATTTGTGCTCTTTTCTATTGCTGTACCAACACGAACCACATAGCCTGCACACCATGCAGTGTTTATAATTTACTCCATCTGTGAACTTCGAAAAACCCTGGATAGTGGCTAAGGGGGGGGGGGGGCAATATTTAGGGGTCGTCCACAAATATAAAAAAATTTCAGAGAAGATATTGGTTCGTTGGGGGGGGGGGGGGGGTGGTCCCTGTTCGTGTCGTGCTTTTGAAAAAATACCGATCTTCAGATTTGGACGGGCACTGTGCAAACATGTATGACCTACACAAAGTCAACACCAAGAATACAGCCATGGCAAGGTTGCGCGACCGTGGCAATGTAAACCTAGATGTATGGTGAATTTGGACTTGCTGTTGATCACGCACTTCATTAAAAATATTGATACCCTGCATAAACGTATGTATGTTCGTTTTGAGGGGGAGGGAGGGGGTCAGGAGAGACATGAACAAAATTAATATTGTCTAAAAAAATATCGATATTTACGGACGGCCCCTAACCTAACAGATGTCGTGAGTGGACATCAATAAATTTGTGAACGGTACCATTCGGCTGTTCAATAACGCAACAATCTCTCCTCCTCTTCTCCTCAGTACAGTTTCTCACCTGCTATTTTCCTAGAACCCTGGGCACTGCGTGCTGCTTTGAGAAGTTTCAAGTTGTAACTTCTCAGTGTTACACCTTGCCTAGATTCTTGCGCCCATAATGCAACGTATAACTATTTTTCAGCAGGCTTCTACAGGAATAAGCCTGGCTTTAATACGCGACATCACGGTATACAATTGAATTTCTGTCCCCGCGTCGAAGTTGTGAGTACGCTTCAATCTCTTTCATCCTTAATAATAATAATAATATAACATCAGCGGTGCGTCATGCGTCACGTGACTGCCTTGACACCAATAGATGAATGGCGAAACATTGAGACATGCAGTAGATATTCGATAGCACGTGATGGTTTGTTAGTACAAAGCAAGCAAAAGAAGCCCTCGTTTTCACAGAGAAGGGTCTGATGGGTTTTAATTTGCCATTATTTGTTTCTGGTCTCCATGTACATGTATACATTTTATTTAGGAAAGTTTCAAAGAATTGCAAACTATTTCTACATGCAGACTACTGCTTTCGCTAGCTTGCCACTTGTCGGACCAGGCCGCGCATACACGATGCAGAGCATAGTGATAGGTGGCAAGCTTAGCAATACAAACACACCTAAACAAATGATTGATAGGTGCACAGCATCTACAACTCCACAAACGAATTTAAAAATACAAGTAAGAATAAATATACTTCAAAGACAAACTAGCCTACAATGTAGATGGGGCCAACGGACGTGACACCAGTATGCCTGACCAGCAAGCTACAATAATATGATATCAAAACTTATAGCATGTAAGTTGATACTATGTCAGAATTAATTTGAATGTGACGTACTGTGCCACAGCATCACCTTGGTCCCGCGAGTCTGAGCTGCACTTGCACGTAACTAAGTTACTTGAAGCAGTCGCCAGGGACAGAGCATGGCACTAGAACATGCCTTGATTAAGCAAAGCTACCACTAGGCAGATTGGTTAACTGCCAAGCTTGGCAGCAGCTGCTGTGGTGCACGCACACATGCAAACCCCAGACAACAGGGCGCCAGCCTCCTTGTTCAGCTGAAATCATTGCCAACTGAAAATCATGATCAAAGCAAGGAAGAGCCTGGACAGAAGTAAAAAATAAAAAAACACAGAAAGGTACACGAAAAAAAAGCAGCAATAAAATAGTGAAACACCACACTGCAATTGACATTGCTACAATGGTGACATTCTGTAAATTCATTAAAAATGGTATACATTATCCCCCCCCCCCCCCTCACACACCCAGAGTCAAACAACAAAGTCAGATTAAATCATATTCTTTTGAGCAAAAAAACATGTATTAAAATTTAAACCTCCCACTGTCACATACTTTACACGCGTCACAGCAACCATGGACTACCCTACCAGTACAGCAGCATAGCCACCAATCACGACATCACAGCTAACACAGCTACAAGCAGTCACCATGCTACCACTGTTTAAACAACAATTACTTCTGTACACTGTACAGCACATGGTACTGACCATCAGAACGCTGCACTGCCCTCTCAAAGAACCTGGGCGCAATACAACCATCTTTGTCTCCCGCACACAAAATGACATCATTAGCAGACTTGAAGAACTCCAGACCATCTGCACATACAAAGAAAAAAAACCTGATCATTCGTCTAGCGTTGTCCGCAAAGCACAACGCAATCCGTACCCTTTACTCCAGAGGCAGGGTAATTCATCACACCTTGGGTCAAAACACACATACCAGTGCTGTATTGCAGACGCTCAAATCTGCAGAGAGCGGCTGTTCCGCCCTACTGGGGCTCCTCGGTGCAATTCGGAGAAGCAAAGCTCATCTCTTTGCAATGACTCATGTCTACTCATAGATACGATAGCGGCACACTTAGGACAGCAACTCACTGGGTCTGAGGCAGAGCCTACCAGTTCTACTGCTGAATGCCTGATCACCTCACACCACTCACACCACTGGTGAACTAACTGTGCATGGACTCACCTGCTAGAGCTTTGGACATGTTGATGTAGATCAGTACCTGACAGGATGCGCGCATTCCTGAAACAATCCCAGCGAGATACCCCCCCCCCCCCACACACACACCATGTGCACATACACACACACACACACACACACACACACACACACACACACACACACACACACACACACACACACACACACACACACACCATGTGCACACACACACCATGTGCACACACACACCATGTGCACACACACATCATGTGCACACACACACACACCATGTGCACACACACACACACACCATGTGCACACACACACACACACCATGTGCACACACACCATGTGCACACACACCATGTGCACACACACACACACACACACGCACGTGCACAAACACCATGTGCACACACACACACACACACGCACGTGCCCAAACACACACACACACATATACACACACACACACACGCACACACACACCATGTGCACACACACACACATACGCACGCGCACACCATGTGCACACGCGCGCACACACACACACACGTACGGCACAATTGGGATTAGCATACTCTCTGAACCATGCATACATACTCTCTGAACCATGCATGCATACTCTCTGAACTATGCATACTCTCTGAACTTACTATGCATGCATACTCTCTGAACCATGCATGCATACTCTCTGAACCATGCATGCATACTCTCTGAACCATGCATGCATACTCTCTGAACCATGCATGCATACTCTCTGAACCATGCATGCATACTCTCTGAACCATGCATGCATACTCTCTGACCCATGCATGCTTAGACATGTCATTATAACGAGTCGCAAATTTAACAATTGTCCAAAATTCATAGGTTAACGAGAAGATACGTTAACGATCTTGCAGTGTTTCGGGATATCCACACACGACATATATGAAGCAGCACGGCCTCAACGGATCTTAGTACAACGAAGAAATGTCATCCGTTAAAACAATATTTACTTCCTCGATTATATACATGTCTTACAGCATTTACTAGTGTGCATCAGAAGGACATGGGCAGGTTGTTTTTTCCAAATTCCGGCGAGCTCAATGGGGATGCAATCGGACTCCTCTTCACTTCACACTTCTACTCCAATACGTTCCATTCGCTGGAAGCGAAGTTTTGTTTTATCGGTGCACTCACCGCTGATGACAGAGTCATCGTCAGGCTCCTTTGGACTAAAGTGAACATGCGTTCTAGACATCTTGGAAAGACCCTGAAACAAAAAGAAGGTACAACAATGTCAGATCACTTCAGCATCAGCATCAGCAATACTGTAAAAGCCATTATTCTAACGAGGCGATTTCCCAAAATTGACTGGTTTACGTGTACCAAAGGTAACGATTCTCACTCATTCTCAACGCTCAATATAAGTAGGACAGTATTATCAGCGCACGCGAAAAGGGCCCTTATGGGATGCACGTGCGAACTGAGAAAATCGCGTTTGAAGTGCAGTGGGTCAAATTTACCGTAGGATTTTGACAGGCCACCGTGATCGATTCTGCACTATTTCCACGGTTTGACTGATGAAATAGGTGTTATTCCAAAATGATCTAGGGGTTTCCAGCTTTCATTTGCAAGTTACCGCGATGAAATTGAGCTACGGAAGCCAAAGTTTCAGCGATTTTGATTTCGTGGGTTCGCACGCGCGCGCGCGCGTGGGCAGCTAGCTGCTGGCACGGCAAAGTACATGTACTTCTTTCTTGTTGCGCTTCACTTGCCGTTCCCTTCTCTAGCTCGTCTTGCACTAGCTGGATCAGTGGATGCTCGAGTTGAACATGAGCCGGAGAACCTGCTTCACTGTTGATGCTGCGCTGGATCTTCTTCTCAGAGAAGATGAAGCTGAGTTTTATGGCGATGACGAGTGTGCGAGTGATGGCGCAGGGAGCGAAAGTGAAGATAGTTCTGACAGCAGCGATGACGAACGAGAACATTTCCTTGCTGCGACAATCGACACAGCTAGTGCAGCAATGGACTTCATGTCTTTGGACAGCTCGCACGCCGCTCCACAGGCAACTTCTAGTAGCAGTAGCCCCTCTGAAGCCATGCAGACTGGTGAAGCGGCTGAACACAATCGCAATTATTCGTGTGGATGCAGCCTGAATTGTTTTAGGAAGTTTGACGAGGCAGATATTGAAGTGAATGTGCTGAACATGAAGGAGCTCGAGCGACCTGAGAGTGACCTGATTATACTGGGACTGCTCGAGTCAGGTCGACACGAAACTGCTTTGTCCCACAAGCCAGGAGAGAAGAGACAGCGACAGCGCTTTCGCTATTCGTTCCAGGGAGTGGAAATTTGTGTTGCTGCATTCAGGACTTTGTACGACATCAGTGAGAAGCGGCTAAAGAACTTGAGAAAGCACCTCCATGAGCATGGTGTCACAGCAAGAGTACATGGTAACCGTGGGCGGAGGCCGCCCAATGCACTGGAATTTGCTGATGTCAAGAATTGCCTTGACTTCATCAAGCGACACGCTGATGTCTATGGTATCCCACACCCAGCCCCTCTCCGCGGCCGTGATGATGTACCTCCTGTTTTCTTGCCAGCTCACCAGACATACAAAGAAGTCCATGCAGAATTTGTGGCACTGTGTAAGTCAGAGGGATGGAGAGCTATAGCGGAGTCTACTTTCCGCAGCATTTGGCATCAGTGTCTACCACACATCCGCTTCATGACGCCGCGAATGGATGTTTGTGCAGTTTGTGAGGACCTCCGGCGCAAAGTTGTTTCTGCTGCGGGTGAAGCCGATAAACTGACCGCCTGTCGCAATTTGGAAGAGCACATAACGGAAGCCCAGAAGGAGAGGGAACTGTACAAGCAGAGGGCAGTGGATGCTAAAACGGAGTATGATGATTATGTAGCTGCTGGATCTGTTGAAGTAAGCCCGCTAACGAAGCAGAAGTACACATTTGACTTTGCGCAAAATGTTAGCCTTGCCCACACAGCTCGGCAGATTGGCCCTATTTATTTCAAGACCCCCCGAAAAGTACAATTGTTCGGGGTCTGCTGTGAATCTATTCCAAAGCAGATAAATTATTTGATCGACGAGGCGGACACAATTGGACAAGACGGCAAGAAAAGCCACAATCCTAACACTGTGGTTAGCCTATTGCATCATTATTTTGCCAATCATGCATTAGAAGAGAAAGAGTGTTATTTATATGCTGACAATTGCGCCGGTCAGAACAAGAACAGAACTGTTGTATCTTACCTTGCATGGCGCTGCATTGTCGGGCTGCACAAAAAAATTACCCTCTCGTTTATGATCACGGGTCACACCCGCTGCCTTGTGGACGGTATGTTCGGCCTTCTGAAGCGAAAGTACAGGCGCTCGGATTGCCACAGTCTCCAACAGCTTGCTACTGTCGTGAGTGAAAGTGCTGTGTCCAACATCCCTCAGCTCCTTCCAGGATCCACTGTCACGTGGTATGAATGGGATACATACTTCGCTAAGCTTTTCAAGCCCATACCGTCTATCAGTAAAAGTCACCATTTCGTGTTTACTGCGGAGATGCCAGGAATGGTGGAGACCAAAAGGTTTGTCGACAGTGATGCTGTGGCTGTACCTATCTTGAAAGTGACTGCTGAGGAGGTAAAGGCTGCTGGTATTCCCGCAACTCTGCCTGCTGGTGGCTTGTCGCAAGCACGCCAGGAGTATTTGCACAAGGAGATACGGCCGTTTGTTGCTGTGGAGCATCAAGACACTCTCTGCCCTGCCCCCGCTGCTTCTAGTCAGCTCTCGCCTTGAAACTGAGAAGAGAGTGCATATGAACCCGGTCACCTGGTGCTTGGGGAACAATGTTTGTTGCTGTTACTGTAACTTCCGTTGCAACTATTTGCCAAAAGCCACATTCTGGGTCCGCTTCTTGCGTAGTACTCCATGGTGGATGACTCCCTAGTTACTGTGTACATAACAAAGATTTCAACAGGTTGTTCTTTCAATTTTGTCTTTTGACTGTAACTGTGTACAAATGCTGTACTTTGGCTGAGATATTCTCCATGGCTATTGCAACCAGTCTCCTCTGGCTGAATGTCTAGGAGTTTCTTACCCCCCTTATCTACATGTCCGCATTTCCGTAAAAAAACGAGCCCACGGCAGGAGCCGTAACTTTGATTAGAGTTGGCCAAATTGAGTCAATTTTTTTTATTCGATTTCTACAATCACTGGCTACCTGAAAATGCCATCAGCTGAATTTTGTTGAAAATCACCATAAGGGCCCTTTTCGCGTGCTCTGGCTCAATTATTAATTATTATGTATCGATTTCTGCATAACGATTTCTATTTTAACGACAGATTTCTCCTCGTTAACTCGTTAGAGTTAGCACTTCGTTATATATAATTATGGCTTTTACAGTAAGCTGAAATTCACATTAGGGAGGTTCCGGAGTACGATTTTTCGTGCCAAAATCCGTGGAGGCGCTACGGATATTTTATACGTCGTTTTCGAGCAGTGAAAAGTTCCGGGGTACGGAACTTATGTGTTTGCCGTCATTGCCTAGGTTACGTTCGCAAACACGTCACATTCCCGCGCTATGCCTTTTTATTTTGAAAATTTGTACCGAAATCAAAACTTCCCGCGGAAAATCGATGTTTCTCGTACCAAATTTGTACGCGAAAAATCTTTCTGCACCCGATGACGCAAAATCTCCAAACGAAACATGGTTCATATGAAAGCCAGTCCACACGGATTCTCCGTGCCGAAAAATCGTATGGAGCACGCCTGGAAAAAAATCCGTAGCGCCCATACGGATTTTGGCACGGAAAATCGTACCCCGGAACCTCTTTATTGTATGATTTTACTTTGTAATTATCTACAGTATCTCCATTACGCGAAGCTGTGTAATAATATTTTTGAAGAAGGGCTGAGGCTTCCTGCAGCTTCATCTCTGAAAGGAATTCGAGTGGACACACCCATTCCCATAGCGCTGCACATCACATCCGAACCAGTTCCGTTATTTTTACAACGTTTCGGCACTTGGCCATCGTCAGGTAATAGGGAGGTTCCGGAGTACGATTTTTCGTGTCAAAATCCGTAGAGGCGCTACGGATTTTTTATACGTCGTTTTCGAGCAGTGAAATGTTCCGGAGTATGGAACTTATGTGTTTGCCATCATTGCCTAGGTTACGATCGCAAACACGTTACATTCCCGCGCAATGCCTTTTTATTTTGAAAATTTGTAACGAAATCAAAACTTCCCGCGGAAAATCCATGTTTCTCGTACCAAATTTGTACGCGAAAAATCTTTCTGCACCCGATGACGCAAAATCTCCATAAGAAACCTGGTTCGTGTGAAAGCCAGTCCACACGGATTCTCCGTGCCGAAAAATCGTATGGAAAAAATCCGTAGCGCCCACACGGATTTTGGTACGGAAAATCGTACCCCGGAACCTCTCTATTCTCAGACAGTATGCACAGACCCCTCTAAACAAAACAAAATAGACAGTTCGTAACATGGACATTGTGGGCACAAGTTATGCGATCGAGTCCATTAACTAAACCAGATTTTAAACAGTCAGACGTGCACAATCCAGCACAAAACTGACAAGGAGTACTGACAAGGAGTACTGACTGACATTCCACGGCAGTTTTGTGCTACACTGTGCCGTCTGACTGTTCCAAATCTGGTTTAGTTAATGGACTCGATCGCATAACTTGTGCCACAATTTCCATGTTACAAATTTTTTCCTTGGCTCACCATCTGAGTTCAAAATAGACAGTGTTCAGACATGTAGCTATGATCCGCGAGGCATATTGCTATATTTCAGGTCCGACGTTGCAGTCAATCTCACGCAATCGTTACTTACTCTCTCTTTGATGGCTGGCCAGGCTTTGAGATAGGTGCCATGCACCACCACCGGAGCTTCATCGGCTGACAAGATCGGCTCCAGGGCCAAGTCGGGGACCTACACGTGGCGAACAAGGAGCGGAGACACGCCGTTAAATACAGCATGCTGACATGAACACAATCATGGTGTAGCCTACATTACCCCATAAGGCCACACGTTTTTATTTCTATGTTTCTCGTCACCCGCGCGCATACGATCCAGGGGAAAAAAAACTGTGCTGCACGGACTGTGCATGTGGGGACCAGCACACTCATGCACATGCACATAATGTGGCCTGGCGTGCGCGACACATGATGCAAGGACGGCATTTTTTATTGCTGCACATGCACATATTGTGACAGAACTCCTACCACAGACTTGTAGCGACCTCACTCCCTGAGTATTGCTAACTATGGATGCTATTTTGCAGGTGCATTGATGGGTTTTAGTGTGAACAAAGGTCTAACAAACTTTTTTTTATTTTTCGGTCATTTTTTATTTTTTTCCACCTCTCGCATACGTTTTTAGATTTTCAGGTGACGAGAAACATAGAAATAAAAACGTGTGGCCTAATGCCAGTATGGTTACAAGTACAGTGCAGTTTCGGCATCAGCGGCGGCTTCACGCAAAATTATTAGCAGAATGACTTTGCCAGAAAGTTTCGCAGGAGCAACAGGCGGCCTAAGCAGGTGCTTACTTCAAATGAGTGGCCTTGGTTTGCCCGGATCATGAGCTGTGGCTCTTCTTCCAAGGCAAAGCGTTGCTTGGCGTTGCTCTCCACCACGCGCCGCACGTCATCAACTGTGAAGTTTCGAAACTGCTTCAGCCGCAAGACATCATCGACGATGAGGAAACCACCTGTGTAAGACAGGACAGGAGTTGACTATTACATTGTTTGATCTGGTTCAAAGTTTGAATACAGTAGCCAGTGAAGATTTAGAAAGGATATCTGACAGGCTCCATACGCCTGCAATTAGGCTATCCGTCTGCACACATTGCAGCACAATTTTCCCTCAAACCCAGGGACGTAGCCAGGATCATGATCAAGAGGGGGGGGGGGGGGGGGGGCACAAATTTTCCACAAGAGTCAAGAGCACATGATTGTACATGTCCCAGTTCTGCCTCTTCATGGGCACACCATGACATTATGTGAGTGCACTTGGAACACAAGAACAAGACTTCTTTTTCTTTTCCATATAAACCACCAACGCAAACACTAAAACGCCAGAACTACAAAACACAGCGGAACAAAAAACTAGTTGCTATGCTGCACGGGTTTTTCTTGTGTTGTCCAAGGATGCATATTATAGTGTTGTTCGGCAGCTACACGCCCGCTTGGTTGAGAGGCGTATCCCCTCTCCGCAGCCTCACGTTCTAGGTCTGCATTCGACCCTAGGAAATACAGGCCAGGTGCCGGTGGTGACCCAGCGATGCGAACGACTTTCGTCTTTGCTTGATGTGTTCCCCAACACGTCCGGTAGTGCGGTCGTGAATCCAGTTTTGCTGCTGCTTGTGGAACGTGATAAACAATGATAAACGGCGTGCACAAAGCATGTGCAGATCGAAATGTTTGAGGAGGGGGGGGGGGGGGTGCTTTGCTTTGGCACCCAAAGTATCCCCCCCCCCCCTCCCCTGCCTATGCCCCTGAAACTTATCAATGTTATTTACCCAATGTTGTAAACAGCAAGCTGTTTCTGCCATCTAGGCCTCATCAGTGCAGTTACGAGTTTTAAGTAGGCCAAACTACCGGCCATAGTGCAAAGGTGGCACCACAGGCGTTTTGAAGATAGCTTGTCGCTCTAGCGCCAGAGTGCTCGAACTACGAAAAGTAGCGAGCCGATGCCAAGCGCAGCAGCAGCAGCACAGAAGCAGCATTTATATTATATTTTTGCATTTACGCTGTCTGATGACCGCTCAGTGCGTGAAACTCGGAGTCACGGTGAGAACAGTCTGACATCTCCTGCATTTGTGTAAAAACACTTTATACGTGGTTACAGTCGACTCCATGATCCACGCACATTGCACATGTAACAAATTGCGTGATATAGCGATCCATCATCCATGTCCCTAAAGTAAGATCAGGCGCTGAAGAACGGAGGGGCTCAAGGCAAGGTGCAGCCTGGCGTGCGTTCTAAAATGTTCAGGTTTTAGTCGTTTCGTTCTTATTCCGCGATCATGGAGAGCATTATGGAATGCGATCACACCATGTATAAAGCAGTACATGTGTAGTTAGATGTGAAAACCTAGCCGGGATTGTCCTTTAGATCTGCAAACCTAGCCGGGATTGTCCTTCAATTTGTGCTATTTTCCAGCCTACGCATTCTTTGGCAAGTGTTCTACGGCGCTGCCCGATCTTACTGCATTGAGCCCGATCTTGTTCTACGGCGCCCGATCTTGTTCTACGGCGCCCAATCTCACTGCATTGAGCCCATAGAAAATTGAACCTCAGTAGCAAACCACTTTCGTTCACAACGAATCTATTACAGTATGTTGTAGGCTCCCATGGCACAACACACGTGCGGGCGATCTCTAGCCGAGGAACAGCAACGGAACCATGTGTTGCACAATAATAGTATGCTTATTGCATCCATGCATTACTGTACGCAACCTGTCACATAGCAGTATTATTACGCTGTAGGAGAGAATAACAACCAAATGCACCCATACCAGGCATGACGTACCACTTGTAGGGTGCAAGTGCATTTCTGTTACGAAGAACTTCGGCTATAAAGAACTTCTTCTCCTGCATGTTGCCATTCGTGTTCGTTATAATTATCAGGAATCGACTGGTATGTACTTGTGATAACAGCAGCATAATCAAAAGGACATGACCCCCAAGTTCTCGTGGTGTAATTGACAACAGTAACATACAAAGAAGGTTGATCTTCAAACTGAATTTCTGCAGTGTTTCGGCATTTACCTGAGTGTACAGTTATGCCTTCCTTCGGCGCACCATGACGGCATAGCCAGGATAGGGACTTGGAGAGCTGGACGTCCCTGCCCCCGCCACCACGATCGCCACGGCTGGGTTTGCTACTTGCCATGGAGTCGGGCTACCAAGCTTCAAGAGGTGAACTATAATAGATATCGGAATCTCCGAATAGGTCAATGTTATCCTCACGCACCACTTTTTCTGCGCTGTCTTCAAGATTCAAGATTGTCATTCACACAATGATCGGAAAACCATTGTGTGAGCAACGACAAGTTCTCAGCATTACGTTTTTGTAGTCCACACGTTGCACCGGGACTGCCTACATGACCCGCGTTTTCAAGGAAGCAAGCTAGGTACCCTAACTGCAGGAATCCTCGAGGCACAACGTCGACGACCAGCACAAGTACAAGCGGGACTATGATAAAAGTATAATGTCTATTTTTAGGCTAATATTTTAGTAGTAGTGACAGGAGTAGTACGCGTAGAGGAATTGCATCATTTCGGCTCAATAATATTTTGAACCAGCGTGGCGTCATCATTTTCTTCCCTGGGACAGGACTCAGTAGGGCGGGCGTCGGAAGCGCGCTGGAACATCATATCAGGGCGCCTGGCTGCTGGCATGCACTCACTCTGCCCCCCCCCCCCCCCACAGACTCAGGCATTCAGCCATGGGCGCCAGGGCCTAGGGAGTCGAGACTCGTAAACAAGATTTTTCCGCGTTTTTTGCGATTTTCCCGCGTTTTTTGAACTTTTTTGTTGCACTACACGTTCACACAGCTGCACTGTTCGGTCAGCAACGTCTCATCTGATCGTGGCGGCTTTTTACTCAAATATGACGAGTGCTTACACCAGAGACTTGTAACTGATTGATTTCACTACATACTCACTGAAAATTGCCGCACATCAATATTATTCACCGCATATTTACCGCATATTTACCGCAAATTATATATATGCCGCGTTTTCCCCGCGTTTTTTTGCGATTTTTTCCGCAATTTTCCCCGGGGACAGAAACCGGTAGAGAAGGGGCTGTCCCCGGGGAAAATTGCGGAAAAAATCGCAAAAAACGCGGCGCAAAAAACGCGGCAAAAAACGCGGCATAATATTTTGTATTTGTATTTATATCATTATCTCATGGCACATCATGATGACGGCCAATAAAACTGAGACAAGGGTGAAAGCCAACCACAGCAGTAAAACAGATAAAAGAATACAAATAAGAGGCAAAGAAGGCAAAGGAGGAGACAAACCAGCAGGATATACATGAAACCTATAATTGAGCAGAGATTTTAGCAACAAAATTATCCATCGACGTGCTGGTCTTGGCCTGCGTTGGTAATGTTGCCCAAAACACATAGCCAGCAAAGATCGGGGATCTAGTGAATAGGGTGGAGGCAGCGCGTGGGAGACTGAGTGAGTTCCGGGTATTCCGTGTTTCGGAGAACCAATTATAAGCCTGCATATGCAAGGGTATTTTATTTAGTAATATTTTATGTACATGTATGAGAACACAGAGGTGGTACTTATGTCGAGTGGAAAGGGGACTGATCTTGGCAATTTCGTAAAGACTAGCGGAGGGAAAGCGACGATCTTTGCTAAATAAGATTTTAAGGAGCATGCGGTTATGGGTTTCTAGCTTGTTCAATACAGTAGTAGTTATGCCAGACCCAGCAGTATCACAGTAGTCAAGTAAGGGCAATATATAGCAACGATAAAACAAGCGTTTGCAAGAAAGAGGAAGATGTCTACAGTGGGCTTGAAGAGCCCCAAGGATGGAGCTTGTGCGCTTGCAGACATACTGCACATGGGATGACCACGACAATTTAGAGTCAATAATAACGCCAAATATGGCATAATTTGCGGTGAATTTGCGGCCGTGCGGTGCGGAATATGATTGATTTCATCGCAGTGACTCTGAGACTGGTGGACTAACATCAGTCACCAATGCAAGATCATATGGAGGATTCCGCACCAGATCGGATCATCATCCGGTAATTGCCGACTTTCGTCTCTCATTTGGACCAGCGAAGCCTGCGCCAAAGTCTAAGGAGCGATGCTTCTCCAAATACAACCAACCTACAGAGATAACCAGGAAACTCTATCAGTCAGCACTACTTGAAAATCTTCCGGAGATCCAGCTCTCCCAAGTATCGCCTCAAGTTATTGATAACCTGTGGGATGGCTTTGTGACGGTTGTGCATGGTGCAGCTCTAGGTGCATTTGGGAGGGCAAAGGTTGGACACAAGTAGGTCCGCAGCATGAGTACTGAAGTGTCTACGCTGTCGCAACCGCAGAAAGAGCTTCACATCCAGAAGGATGCGGAACGTGATCCTGAAAGACGGCAACAGCTAGCAAGAGAACGCAATCAAATACTGCATAAAATACGATCAATATTACGAAAGGAGGGTGACCAATTTTGGCAGGAGAAAGCAACAGAAGCAGATGCATTACGGCCCGACGCACGGTCATACTACAATGCAATTCGTAACATCCGCCAACTTCGTTCCTCAGTCAGCCAGCCACCTGTCAGACTTGCAAACAAAGATGGTGAAATCATGGCGGACGTCCAGTGGAATCTCGATGAATTCCGCAAGTATTACTTGTCCGTATTCCATCGCGATGACGTCCCTGCTGCAGTCGACCACCCAGCAGATGGAGAGGTAACACCTGATGAGGAGCCATTTACTCAGGAAGAAGTTCGAGCAGCAATCTCACGGCAAAAACCGGGTGGTGCTGTTGGACAGGATGGAGTTTCCGCTGTTTTGCTGCAGGCCGGTAAATATGCAATCACCACTTGGTTAACAACATTCTTCAACGCTGTTCAACTGGCAAAGTATTGTCCAGAAGACCTCAGACGCGGTTTGATCGTGCCCATATATAAGCCAAATAAGCCTACCGGCTTCCCCAAAAGTTACCGACCAGTTATGCTTCTGTCGGTGATCAGAAAGGTCCTGACCCGTATTCTCACACAGCGCTGCACTACATTTGTGGACTCCTTTGTGCCTGAAAGCCAGGCTGGCTTCCGCCCTGGGCGGTCGACTGCGGACGGAGTATTCTTCACAAGAATGATGTTCGAGAGGGCCTTGCTAGGAGACTGGAGTTACTCAGCGGCGCTTTTAGATTTCAGTGGCGCATTTGATACAATAATCAGGCAGACTGCTGTTGACCGTCTGGCTTCGGCAGGTGCACATGTTACCACTATTCAGCAACTAGTCTCCGAAACCTCTGCTTGCGTGAAGCTGGGAAAGCAGCTCAGTCAGTCATTTCCAACTAATGTTGGAGTGGTGCAGGGGGACCCCCTGTCACCCCTTATTATTGTCTACGCAGAAGGTGCAATTCAGAGGATCAGAGAAGCCTGCCCGGAACAAGTCAATCTACCTACTAAGTTCACCCTGTATGCAGATGATACAACAGTGCATGACCACAGCTGGACAGCAGTTGAAGCAACCGTAGAGAAATGCGAACCCATCTTCGCAGAAGACAACTTAAAACTAAACATCAGCAAAACACAATTTGTAACAGCTACAAAGTCAGATGCCTCCTGGAGGTCGGTCAAACTGTTGGGTTCTCGTCTGGGGTCAGCGGAGGACATTGATGCACGTATCATAGCAGCGAACCGGGCATTTTCCAGTGTATCATGGAAACGCCATACCCAGCAGTCCCGCTTAAGCATGTTCAACTGTCTCATTTTGCCAGTTCTCCTATATTATAACTGCGCGCTATGGACTCTAACAAAAGCCTTAGAAAGCAAAATTGATGTATGGCACCGCCGTAAACTCAGATACATACTTGGAATCATCTTTCCCAATAAAATTTCGAATAATGCTCTTTATGCTAAAACTGCTCAATGCCCAATAAGTGCAGTCTGTAGACGCCGGCGCTTATTATGGTTTGGACATGTCATTCGTGAAGGGAAGGACGCTGTGTCCTACAAAGCCCTTCACATGGCAATGAATATAACAGATATAAAGAAGCCCAGAGGTCGCCCAGTGACCAGATGGGTAGACAACATTAGGAATGACCTTTTACTTCTCAATAATTATGTCTCTTTTGGAAGCGGAGCAACTTGCCTCAGACAGAACGCACTGGCTCGACGTTGTCGACAGATGCATGACCCTCATTTGATTTTTCATATGAGCTATATGCGCGCTGTATTATTATTATTATTATTATTATTTGAAACTCGGATGTTGAGCCATAAATAAATGTGGAAGAGAAAAAGACATATGGATACGAGTTTAGAGTAACTCTCCATCACTGTAACATGATACTATATACAGTCAGAAAGTGCAATAACTAGGCACAAAACTGACAGAGTACTGAAACATTCGACGTCCTGACACCTAGCTTCAACACATCTCCGTAGCGCTAACCGACAGCCTTCCAACTTGGAAGGTTCAAGGTTATGGAAAAGACCAAAGAGGGGAAGGCAAGCGCAACGAAAACGAGCAAAAGCTACAGTCCCAACGGAACAAAGAATGTCGATTGTTACTGGACGATGACGAGACCAGTACGATATTTGACAAAGCGGTCTAACTACAATTCGAAGCAGCAAAGCAGCACACCACCCAACTTGGGTGGGTCATAAATATCAAAGATAAGTAAAGAAAGGGAAGCTTTGCGAAAACGAATTGTACAAGCCGAAAGCCAAACTCCTACAGTACTCCTCATGCATGACATTGTGATGGACTAGTTGACTACAAAACAAGTTGTTTCACACGACGTACGTTTCGCCGTATGGTTCGTGACGGCTCATCAGGTGTGCAATTTGAAACTCGGATGTTGAGCCATAAATAAATGTGGAAGAGAAAAAGACATATGGATACGAGTTTAGAGTAACTCTCCATCACTGTAACATGATACTATATACAGTCAGAAAGTGCAATAACTAGGCACAAAACTGACAGAGTACTGAAACATTCGACGTCCTGACACCTAGCTTCAACACATCTCCGTAGCGCTAACCGACAGCCTTCCAACTTGGAAGGTTCAAGGTTATGGAAAAGACCAAAGAGGGGAAGGCAAGCGCAACGAAAACGAGCAAAAGCTACAGTCCCAACGGAACAAAGAATGTCGATTGTTACTGGACGATGACGAGACCAGTACGATATTTGACAAAGCGGTCTAACTACAATTCGAAGCAGCAAAGCAGCACACCACCCAACTTGGGTGGGTCATAAATATCAAAGATAAGTAAAGAAAGGGAAGCTTTGCGAAAACGAATTGTACAAGCCGAAAGCCAAACTCCTACAGTACTCCTCATGCATGACATTGTGATGGACTAGTTGACTACAAAACAAGTTGTTTCACACGACGTACGTTTCGCCGTATGGTTCGTGACGGCTCATCAGGTGTGCAATTTGAAACTCGGT